TTGATGGACAGAAGAATCCAGACTGTGCAAGGCAGATGGACGGGCAGATCTCCGAATTCTAAGTCATCGGAACGTGTACGAGGAATCAGTTATGAGTTTGTCCTTGAACAATTAGGCAAGTCCTGATTTCTGTGCTTTCTGTGCGCCAGGCCCTGGGGAATAAAGAGCAGAACACTGTCCCTGCCTTTGCCCAGCTTCCAGTTCGAGGGGACACTGCAGTGAGTGTCCCGGGCAGGTGCTGTGGTGCCCGGGGAGAGGCAGGTGGGTGGGAGAGCAGGGCCGGGGGGCAGGGAGGCGGCAGCCCAGCTGGGCCTGTGTGGGCTCTGCCGTTGGGGACGGCTGCGGGAGGGTATGGTAGGGACGAGAAAGCCTGGAAAGGTGGGTAAGAAGATGGAGCAGAAAGACGTTTAGTAAAGAGCCCCCAACCTGTGGCAGAGAGAAGATTCAAACCACATTCTACAGCCCCGAAATGACAACTTCTGCTTTCAGACGGGCCTAAGGACGGCCCTGGGGCGCACAGCTCTCTCGCTGTACAGCCTGGCATCTTCTGGGAAAAGGACCCGCCATCTCCTGGGAATTGTCCCTTCTGCTCCAGGTACAGATATTATCTAGCGCTGCCATCATTCCAGCAGGATCCCGGCTCCCTAGCGGCAGCTCAAGATAGGCAGGAGAGTGATTTCCTGGCATCTTTCGGAAGAGCCCTGAGAAAGGCAGTACGGAGGCGTGAGATGTTAGGTTCAGGAGCGGACGGGGAGTGTTTCTTGTCCTCTGGCAGGAGAAGCAACTCTGCATGGAAGGGAAGGAGGCAGACAGGGCTGCGATGGGCGCTTGGACCACTGCCCTGCCTGGGAGTCTTTGTAAGAAGTCATCAGACACCCAGAGAGCTTCCCTGCCTACTCCCCCTTCCGGTTTAAAGATAGTCCAAATTGGGCTTGGACTAAAATCACCTAATCCTGCCTGAAATGCTACATTCAGCATCCTTTATCTATTAAAAACAACTATGGAAAAATATCTTCCTTCCACCACTTCGTCTCCTCACTTCAAAGAAGCGATATTCTGAAATGACAAAGAAGAGATTCACCTTAATAGTGGGGAGCACTGTGAGGGAGCAGTTTACTCCCAAGAGTAACCACAGCGCCCCCGGTGGAGAGGCCCCTGTGGAACCTGGGATGGGTCTTCCATTCCCCAGGGGCGGAAAGACCTCAAACTGAGGCCAGTTCTGCTGGAGAGGTTTCAGTCTTTTTGGGAAAAGTACAATCAAGTCCTGGGAAAATGAGAAAGGAAGAAATGTGAAGTTCTCCTGAACAGTTTTCATAGAAGATCTAAAAGTCATCCTACCTTTTGTTAAAGCTTAAGTAGCAGAGATTTAATGAAAAAGAATACAAATGTATAACCCTTATAATAAAAAGGTCTTTTCCCTTCCTTTTCGAAAAAATTCTTCTTTTAAAATATTTTTTCATATTTCGTACCTCGGGAGTAATTTATATATTTTTGTGAAATGACAGAAAATAATTCTTTGTAAGATTTTGCTTTTGCATTGATTTTGCTTTTGTATTGAAGTTCAGTAGTTTTTATAGCTTAGTGTTCAAAGATTACTTTCAATTTTTAATAATGGGTTTATTGTGTAAGAAGTATTTAAAAGACTTAAAATAAGAAGAAAACTTGCTATAGCCTACAAAGCTATTCATCAAAGAATGTGGCAATAATTTTTGTGAGATGATTATTATTACTTCTTGCCTTTTAATTCTGGGGACTGCATTATAGCCTATTAAACTTCAGTATTTGTAAACTGCAACATGCTGATCCTTACAAATGTCTGTGAGTTCCTTGAGGGACTGTCCCTAACACGGGGAGGCTCTGTGAATGCTTGAACACCCTCCAGATCTATCTGCACTGGTCCCCGAGTAGATACCAGCCTTGGTATCTTAACTGGCAATGGAAACACCTTGACTACAACAGCAAATTACTCCAACATTTATATCATCATGCTACTGTTTTCTCTGAGTAGCCAAGTCAATGAACTTAGTGCTAAAAAAGGAGGAAAAATGCACCAAATGACTTTGTCGTTCATTTTCAAGGAAACCATTTACCTCTCTTCCTTCCCTTTTCCAAACTCTTGGGTCACTGTCCACTTTTATTTAAGCACATGACAGAGGTTATCAAGGGACTGTTTTGATGAGACTCATAGCTGACATTTATACAGCTCTTCTTATGGCTAAGTGGCTCCTGTGGATTTTACCAAATCCTCAAAATCCTTTAGGATCCGCTGTTCTCCCCACTTCACAAGAGCAGTGGGGGCTGAAGGAGGCCAGTTTGCCCATCACACTCGCACAGAACGCCAGAGCCTGTGTTGGGAACCACCTATGTGCTGCCTCGGATGGTGTCTTGTTTACTTGTGTTATACGATAGTTCATAATGAGAAGCACAGGAGTCACATTTGGAAGGTATAATAAAGTGGACACTCACGTGCCCATGTCCCAGCTCCAGATGAAGAGCACCGCCAAGCCCTCTGTGGGCACTGACTCCAGAGCATCCCGCCAACGTCTGCTCCACGGCCCCCTGCATTTGGCGCCTACTCCCACCAGCAGCCTGCTCCATGTCGCATTATACACCTGCCCCTGCAGTCAGCCACCACCAGGCACCCCCACACTCTGTCCAGGTGGCTCAGCAACATTTCCCACCCACCCCGCTTTCTGTTCTCCATGCCAACCTGGCCCAGCCATGGCCTGTGGCTGTCGTGTTACAGCAGTCTCCAGACAGGCTTCGTCCTGGGCACTCCCTGCTCCTGCAGTTGCTCAGGGACCTTCCTGAAGCCGAGGTTTGCCAAGCCTTTTCCCTGGAGCTCTGGCTTCCTGAGACGTGCCTCACAAAAAGGTGGGACCTAACAAGGCTCAGATCTTGTTCTATTATGTAATGTGACCCTACTTAACATTTTTTTTAAAAGGGTCCTGTTGATAAAATTTTGAAACCACCATTCTGATCTCAACTACCATTGCAATTCTCTCAAAGGAGGGGGAAAAAAAAAAGGCTGAGTGAGTCCCTGCTGGCAGCACAGTGACATCCTGGTGACATTGCAGGCCCTACACGGCTGCCTCAGCCTCATTCCCAGCCAGTGCCACCAAGGCCTCCTGCCCCCAGGTGTCAGCTAGCTGCACTGATCTTCCTCTCCCTTCGCCGCTGCCTCCACCCAAACTCCCCCGGCCTCTTCATCCAAGTGCTACCGTCATCCTCAAGACCCCCTTCTTCAGCCTCCTCCTGGCTTTCCCGACAGCACGCCCAGGCTCCCCGACACGGGAAGCAGCTGGTGAGGGATCGGACGGCGTCCACTGCAGTCAGCTCTGCACTGGCCCGGAGGCCAGCGGCATGGCAAGACACAGCCCGTCATCCACGTCTCAGCGCACCCACGCCATGGGGAGGAACCACTGGTCGCTTTTCTCGTGTCAAAGTGGTAAAAAAGCATGCTCCGACAGATACAGGCTAAATCAATGTTGCTGACCAAAACCAGACACAGATGATTTCGCTGTAGAATGACTGCTACGTGGAAAGAATCATTTTACTATATAAAGATTTAATGTGCACATACATGACTCCGAACACATCCAACTTTTTAAAAACAGAATTCATGGAGAAATCAGTAGTATACAACTTTCTACATAAAGGAAAATTAAGCATTGAGGGTCTAATTCTTGAAGCAATATTTTTACTTAATTAAAATAAATTACATTGAAATGGATTTTAGAGTACCCCTGTTACCAATTGCCTTTTCCCCACCTCAAAAACAACCTACTGCAAAATTGCATTAAAATTAAAATGCATACGTTTCTTCATTTAAGGGATTTTTAGGAATCCTATAGTAAACTCAATTTAACACTTAGCTGTGACTGAGGAGTCCAGCTCCTGGCCAAACACCTATGTGCAACCTTCCAGGTTCAACCATAGTCAGTGACCAAGGCCATGCCTGGTGGGCTTCACAGAGGCCAAACTGGCCTCTCCACACCTGACCTGTGCAGTCAGCGCCCTCTGGGGGCTCTGGGGGACTGCGGTCATGGACTTGGCCCACTTCCCCGCTGCTCACACTCTTCCAGAGCGTATGTGCCATCCTGACCAAGTGCCTTCATCAGAGGTCTCCATACCTGTTCCCCTTGGCCTGGTCCTTCCTCAGGCACTTCTGCTGAGGCCCTCTGGGAAAGGGGCAGCTTGAAGACACTTTTTTCCACATCTGTGCAATTGGTCAAATAAAGAAAGTGTGGTACATGTACAAATGGAATACTATTCAGCCTTGAAAAAGGAGATCCTGCCACTTGCTACATCGTGGGTGAACCTGGAGGACGTGGTGCTAAGTGAAACAAACCAGCCACAGAAAGACAAGTACCGCACGATCTCACTAAGTTGTGGCATTTAAAAAGTCAAACTCATAGAAGTAGAAATGGTGGATACTGGGGCAGGGGCTGGGGTGGGAGAAATGGGGAGACGTTGGTCAAAAAGAAGTTGCAGTTAAGTACGGTGAATAAGCCTAGAGATCTAAAGTGCAGCATGTGGACTACAGTTAACCGTACTGCACACTGGAAATTTGCGGAGAGGATATTTAGGTGCTCTTTCCACACGTGCGTGCGTGTACACAGTAACTACGTGAGGTGACGGATATGTTAATTCACTTGACTGCAGTAATCACTTCACACTCTGTGTATCAAAACATCCTGTTGTACACCTTAAACATTAATATATACAATTAAAAAAATTAAAAAATACAAATGGATCCAAACGGGGTGGGGCACTTTCCCCGGTGTGGGCTTGCTCGGCCATCACAGGCCCGGCTGTGGTCTGCACCAGCTACGCCCAGCCCCGGCAGCTCTGCACGCAGACACGCACTGCTGAACAAGACCTCTCACCTCTTATACTGTAAAATGTGTCACGGGCAAACAACAGAACCAAGAGGAAGAGTTCTAGATTAGCCGGAGCATTAAATGAGCAACGTTCTGGCTCTGGTTGGTTGCTTAATCTTTGGGGTTGCTTTCTCATCTGCAAAATGCAGTAACTCAACTATAATTTGCTGAATCGTCCTTTTAAGTCTAATATGCCAAGGTTCTACGTATGAATTATGTTCCTAAAACTATCTTCTGAAAAAGTTTAAAAAAACAAAGCAGCAGAATAAAGCTAACATTCTTTCTTTTTTATTTTGGCTTCTAAATTGTGCTTTGGTGTCTGCACTCAGATATGACGCAGTGAGATACAAGTTTCATTGAGTATCTAGAAAATAAAAACCACATTTATACAGATTTAGCCCAAGAGCTTATAAAGTAAAAAAAAAGTTTTGATTTTTTTTCCATTAAAAAAAATGTATGTATGTGGTACAAGTACAATTTTGCTACATGGATATATTGCATGTGGTGAAGTCAGAGGCTTTAGTGCACCCACCACGGGAGCAGTGCACATTGTACCCACCCAGCAACCTCCCATCGTCCACCCCCCTCACACGCCAGTGTCCGTCATTCCACACTCTGCCTCCATGTGCACACATTTTTTAAAAAAATTTAAATGGTCACCTTTACAAAGCGGCATTTAATAATAAGTCTTCTCACAACTCAAAAAAAATTTCTGATAGTGCCACCCTCGAGTGGGTCAGCCATACGCCAGGCACGCACATACAGCTCCTCCTCCTCTCTTCCTGTGAAAAAGGCCTCAGCGCTTCTTCCAGGTAAACTTTCTTCGGGCTCCCTCTTGGCCTGGCTTCTTCCGTTCTCTGACTCGGGGATCGGTAGTCAGTAGTCCAGCTGTGGCATGAAAAGAGAAGCCTTTAGGAACCATGGAAAATGCATGCTGCCAAGCAGAAAAGCAGGTAAACCTCATGAATTTATTATAGGTACTGCTGTCAGAGAAAAAACTAGAAGAAAGTAACCAGATTCATAATAATTTACCAGGATGGTATAAATCTCATGACAGCAGTTTACTTCCACTCTTTTAGAGTATTTTCCCAACTTCTGAGACACATACCAGTGACATTATTTGAATTTGCTTTCCTTATCCTATAAGAGTTGTGACTCGTTTTTCGTTTTTAAACTTGTTCAACGTACGATAAAGCTGCTCTAGTGTGGGCAGTCACTATTCACTGGTAATAGAACTCACCCGACATCCTTATTATTGCAGAGGTGAGACTTTTAATGGAGACAAGAGGTAAAGAGGAAAAACTTATTGTATGGTGCAGTACGAGGAAGTACACAGACACCATATATTAACAGTATACATGAATATGCATACACATACAAATATGACTTGTCAAACATATGAGAAAACAAACTTTTATTCTAATTTATGCAATAATATTATTTTGGTATTTTGTTTCAGAATCTAAAAAATAAGTTTTAGAGTTATATTAGCATGAGCAGTTTCTCCTAGAACTGCAGTCCCCAACCTCAAGGCCTTGGACTGATAACTGGTCCGTGGCCTGTTAGGAACCAGGCAGCACAGGAGGTGAGTGGTGGGTGAGCAAGCGAAGCTTCACCTGTATTTACAGCTACTCCCCATCACTCACATCACCACCAGAGCTCCGCCTCCTGTCTGATCAGTCACTGTCTCCCATCACCCCCAGATGGGACAGTCTAGCTGCAGAAAAACAAGCTCAGGGCTCCTGCTGATTCTGATTCTGCATTGTGGTGAGTTGTATGATTATTTCGTTATATATTACAATGTAATAAAGATAGAAATAAAGTTCACAATAAATGTAATACACTTCAATCATCCTGAAACCATCCCCCTGTTCATGGAAAAATTGTCTTCCATGAAACCAGTCCTTGGTGCCAGGTTGGGGACCACTGTTCTAGAAGAATAAAGTCACTTTGAACTGGGAATTTCCACTCTCCTAATCATCAGAAGCTACTATGTTTCTAGGCAATTGCTGAGTTACTCTTAGCATATGGTCCACATGGGAGCACCCAGTAGTTGCTGGAGCCATACTACGTCAGTAAAGGCCACAGATACCAAGAATACTGCTGATGAGAAAGCTCATAAATTGCTTTTATAAATATAAAAATAGTCCATCATTTTTCTTTGTCTTTTTTATTCTTCCAGTGCAGCACTTCTCTTCATTGTATACAGGGCTTTGATATTTTATAGGGGTCATTTAATGGCCATACAGCAAAAGAAAACTTCCATCACCCATTATATACCCATAAGCTTTAGTACTTACTTGTACTTAAAGGGCATGCATAGAAGAAAACAACAGTATTCTGGACAAAATACAGACAAGACTTGTCTAAGTTCTACTTTAAGTTGTAAGTAATAATGCTTTCTTCCTTTCATGTGTGTATAGCTCACCCAGCAGAATTGTTTAGTAAGGTCCTATAAAATTATTTTAATGACTAGGCATGGCAAATTGCTTATAATCAAATGGATTTTTAAGAGATTTAAAAAGCCAAGTAGTGGCCGGCCGGGCACGGTGGCTCACACCTATAATCCTAGTACTGTGGGAGGCCAAGGCGGGAGGATTGCTTGAGCTCAGGAGTTTAAGACCAGCCTGAGCAAGAGCAAGACCCTGTCTCTACTATAAATAAAAAGAAATTAGCCAAACAACAACAACAAAAAGAAAGAAAGAAAGAAAGAAAGAAAGAAAGAAAGAAAGAAAGAAAGAAAGAAAGAAAGAAAGAAAGAAAGAAAGAAAGAAAGAAAGAAATTAGCCAGGCATGGTGGCGCATGCCTGTAGTCCCAGCTTCTCAGGAGGCTGAGGCAGGAGGATCACTTGAGCCCAGGAGTTTGAGGTTCCTGTGAGCTAGGCTGACGCCATGGCACTCTAGCCCAGGCAACAGAGTGAGACTCTGTCTCAAAATAATAATAAAAGAAAAAATTAAGTAGCATAAGCCATAGGCAGTGCTTATGTTGAACCCCAGTGGTCTGCACTAGAGGGCAGGGGCCACGGAGACCCTCTTACTTGGCCAGAGAGAAGCTTGCAAACTTGGAGGCACTAAGTGACTTGCCCAGGGCCACGTAGCTGGCTTATAGCACGCACAGTTCTTTCTTTCTTCTTTTCATAAATAGCACAAAGATAAACTTCAGCTTGAATCTCCCCAGTTAAATTTAGGAATCGGCTACATATTTGTTTTCATACTATTCAAGGACTCCTGTATACACACCCAGGTGAAAGGGTCACACAGAGCGAGGTAAAAGAAAATTCAAACTAACATCACAATGGGAGAAATGAAAATCTCCAATAATTTGGAAAGAAGTACTTAGGGCTTTATCATTAACCAAACAATTACTACAAATTTCTATCATTAAATAAAAACAACCAATTGGTTTCTTAAACACAACTGAGCTAAGAGCTTTGTTAAGCTGGTCAAAAGATTATGCACTAAGGTCAAAATAAACTTTGCCTGACCTTGAGACTCAACATTTTAGTAGGGCCCAAATAATCATCACTGGGAGTGCCCTGCTTTTCTTTTTCTACTTCAAGTTCACTTGTTAAAAATCAAACCTGAAAAACACTGTTATGGTTCTGTAGCATGAAAGAAGCAGCCAGCAAACTGTAAATATTATGTGTTTAACTTGGTATTCCCTCACTAATTTCAGGTCAGTAGTACAAGAATCAGATAAACACTTGCAGCTAGTATCAGGCCACCATGCCCCTCCCAGCTACTCATACCTTGTCTCATCCACTCAACCTCGTCCTCGGTGACGAAGCTGCACAAGGCTTTTGCCATCGCCAAGCGTATTGCTCCAGCCTGCGCCGACCTCCCGCCCCCTGAGACGGTGCAGGTCACATCGTGTTTTCCAAGTCGGTCAAGGAATTGAAAAGGGAACATCAACTGTTCTCTAAAGCATATCATAAGTAAATGTGGTTAAATTTACTGTAAAGGTACATGATTATATAAACAGTTGACATTCAGAATATTTGTAAGAGCCATATTCTGCGTGCCAATGTGATACTTTTCATACTTCTCAATCAATCCATTATAGCAAGACACAGGAACACTGATATTTCTGACATTTAGAATACTTTGCAGAGAGCTGTAAGGTTTATTTCTCTTTCCTTGGGTACAGCAATAACCTCATATATGGAGTATAGCAATACACTCTGCCTTACTGTTTGCTGTTCCCTTTTACCTCACAAGAATTTTGCAAGACTTCTCTCTGGATTCAACAATCAGATATAAAATTAATAGGTCTTCCCAAACAATTTTCAAATACCATTTGGATTCATAAAAGAAAGCATATGATAATGTAGTTGCGAATATACAATGTTCAACTTGAAATAGTTTTTGTAGTCATTAAAGCCACATTCAACATCCACTCCCCCGAAACACATAACTCCTATTACAGTTCTCTCAGTTGCAGGGTCCTGCTCTCTGCTTGGAGCCAGATGACACCCTAGACAACCTCAGTCTGGCCAGCTACCTCGGGGGCAGTGAGTGCCCATGTGGCTCAGGTAGGCAACACAGACAGAATGTGGCCCTGGTCTTTCTTTCACTCAGCTGAACAAGTATTTATTGATCACCATTTTTGTGCCAGGTATGATGTTCACCATCACCTTTGTCAAGCACTTTGATTTTGCCTTAATATCTCTGCTAAACTTTGATTTAGACAAGTCCATTTACATTGCATTTGCTTACTTTGTCTGACATTGTAGCTTTCAGGCCCAAAATAAAGCTTAATATAACATAGTTAAGCTGAGAGATAGATGTAGACAGGACAGGATGGATATAGACAGGACCTTCAAGTGCTACTCTTTGCACTACACTAGCAAAATAATCACATGCAGAAGAAAAAAAGTTGTAAGTTATAAAAACAGCACTATTAAAAGTAGTAGCCATATCATCATAACTAAAGGAAATTTAGTAGGGTGGTAAGAGACTGGAGACCTAGATACTGGAGAGGCTAAAATTGGAGGATCACTTGAGCCCAGGAGTTCAAGACCGCAGTGAGCTATGACTGTGCCACTGCACTTCAGTCTGGGCAACAGAGCAAGAATCTGTCTTTAAAAAAAGAAAAAGAAAAAAAAATTAAAATATTAAAAAAAAAAAAGAAGAAAAGAAAGAAAAGATAATTTAGACACTGATAATCTAATTCCACTATTGCATTTACCTCTTAACCAGTCTGGCTCTATTACTCTATACTTCTAGTCATTACATTATGAAATCTATTTTTTTCTAAATTTTAGTCTATTTATTTATGTAAGTATTTATTAGAGAATCTTAAAATTTTAGGAATTAAGACAGATACGTGTCCCGAAGAAATGGCTGTCCAGAAAAGACTCCCCTGTAACTTCACTTCACGTCACTAATCCACTTAACTGTGTGTTAGACAAGGCAGAGAACTAGAATCAAGATCCCTGATTCCTAGTTCATTAGTCTTCCTATTGGTCAACGGTCCCTTCACTGATGACTTGTAAACTCCTGAACTGATCCTGCCCTAAATCCCTACAACTATTTACAAATGATGGGAGGGCTTGGGAGCCCAGGCCCACCAAGACTAGCCCTAAGCCTCCTGAGTAGATAGGAAGTTTCTTGACAATAGGAATCATATCTTAAATAGCTCCGATATCTTCACAATACCCAGAACGAGACTAGGCACATAGATGATCCTTAACAAATGCTTGTTGAATTCAAATTGAAGAATAAGATCTAAGGATGTAATTTAATTGTGATATTAAGTCATAATGGAGACTTGCTGTTAAATCTTCATGTGTTATATTTGAATATAAATTGACAGGCAGGTGATTGTTTAAATGTCATTCCTTCTGCAGTTCCAAAGCTGAAATTAACATTCCCTGTAGTATGGGTCTCTCTCTGGCTTTTCCTAAGTGAAATAAGAGCTTACTCCATCCCTTTCCCTGTGAGGATAATAGCAGAATTAGTTTAATTTATGTTAAATAGAGTTAAGAGTGGGCTACTTCTTGACACAGCCCCACACACAAATAAAACAAACATACATTTCTTACAATAATTATTCTGTACAGAAGCTTAAACTATATTAGAAGGGTCCTCTTTGCCTTACATAAGCATTGGGATCAGAATAGCTTTTGCCCTTTTAACCTTAAATAATATAACACATTCAGGAAACAGGAGAAGGATTAGGAAAAGAGGAAATAATCATACTGAACTTCTGTTACTTGTGAATAATGACAGAAACTACTGGAAAAATGTAACTGCCTCAAGAAGAGGCCTTTATATAGTGACTCACAGAGAGATTTAAGATGAGTATATTTAGAGGATTAGATGAACTGTAGTATATATTTATGATTAATGTCTACTTCTCCATGGGATACAAAGTTTAAAAAATAAAACTGCTGTATTTAGCACTGGGAACTAAGCAAAGCCTGATGAACTCTTATTTTAACCCATAAATGCCAGGTTTCTTTGCTTGCTCAGTATGTACAATCACGTTTCTCCGAATAAAAACAAAAAACAAAAAACCCAAATGATAAAGCAGACGTTTTCTAATATTTATGATCAGGAAAACACAAATTACAAGAAATCTGCTCGTACTTTTCCTTACCTAGTGGCTTAAGTCAGCTATAAAATCTAAGCTTGGTTTTTGTGGTGGTTGTTTTGTTTTCGGCACACCCACACCTAAACTAGAAGGTGGGAACCTATTTTTCTTATACTTTGGCAAAATCTACATTTTAGAACATCAGGTATACTTAAGAATACTCAAATTCCAGTAGGATCTCATGAAAAGAGGAAGAAGAGTCAATTAATGGATTCTAGATAGGCTTTTTTAAAAATCTGGAAGCTACATAAAAAACAGCAACAGTTTCCATTTAGCTAGTTTGATATGTTACATTGGTAAAGAGAAATAATCCTCCAACAAACAGAGATAGAAAATCATAAGCCATCTACATTGATCATGATGTATTATAAAGTATTAATATACTTCCTTTAAAAATAAAAATCAAAACGAATACCAAACACAAACCTGTCCTGTAAGACCGGGAAGTAAAGCAGATAATCAATTCCATTTACTTTTATTTTTCCACTTCCATGTTCATAAACGATGGCTTCTGCCTTTGCAGTCTTTCTTTTACCTTTAAAAGTATAAAATTCATATTAGCAAAAATCTTAAAGACCAGTACTGTGAGACAGGTAAAACTACTCTACAATTTGTTTTCCCAGAATATACAACACTCTACCTAGGAAAGTTCTATAACTATTACAAACCAAACAAAGAAAATAGGTAAACTACACTACAACAGACATAATAAAGCTTATTGTGAGGTAATTTGTTCTTCCATTCCATTTTAGAAACACTACAATGATTTTAAATTAGTTTCAACAACCAACTAAGTAATTCATATTCGTTTACCTTACTTAAAAAAAAATCTAATTTACATAGTGTTCTTTTGTAATCAATAGGAATATATCTAATAATATAACTTTTAGAAATATATGAATAGTATGCTGAAATATAATTGGTAGAAATGAAAGAAATGTTCAGGAAAGGTCACATTTCTTTGAAAACACTATGGTTGTTAAAAATGACAAAGGAATGATATTAAACTTTTTGAGAGTTTTGCAAATATATCATTTAATAGGTCAATTCTTAATGGTTGGACTATGTCAAATGTCGGAACATATACAAGGAAAACATGAGTTGAGGACCTGAAGTTTTCACATGTTATATATTTGTATCTGTCACGCAGATTCACTGAGCATTTTCATTTATTGAGAAGAAAGCTTTATTACATATATTTTATGGATTCTACTGGTATAAAATATGAAAGTAAAAAGATTTAATATAGATGTGTAAAAATAAAAAGTGTTAATAAGATTGTGTAACTGTGCACCCGCATTTTTACTTGGGACACTGTACGGTTTTTAAAAACTTCAACAGCATATTAAAAATTAGGAAATCCAATATAGTAGCAGCATAAATAAATAAATAAATGAATGAATAAATAAACAGAAAAACTAAATGGATACCAGAGAGCAACAGCAAATAAAAATAATTGTAGTTTTTCAATCTTCACTAAATTTATTTTCTCTGCACGGAATGTCATTACCTTCACTTCTGCTAAAGGCCATTCCCTGCTCGTCATACTGCACAGGTTCAATCAGCTGTTTTTTTGATTGAATAGTTACACTTCTGCGAAACCTCTGCACAAATTCTTCCTCAGCAGCACCACACTGCAATGTCAATAACTTTTCCAGCAGCTGAATGAACTGCATATGCTGCAGACAATAAAAATTCATTAGAAGATGCAAGTGTAATTGCATTTGCTAAATTTTTTCTATTTTTGCATACTTGATCTTTCGAATGTTGCTTTTCTTGATGAATTTTGACAGGATGACACTTCTGCATCTTCATGCTGCTTTTCAAACAGCATGCAGATGCATCACTTTTCCTGTGTATCTTTAGTGCAAAATCTTTTCTTTCAAGAAACAAAGAGATTTATCATTCAAAGAAAACTCAATTTCTCTGTATTATGATTATGAAACTGAGATTTAAATTCATTTTGAAAAGGTATTTAGATGATCTTCAAGTGTAATTTCCACTCTTTTATTAGAACTGTATCAAGAGGAACTTTATAAATAATTTCCAGTAAGTTATGTATAGTAAAATGGAAAGAGTTTGATTTTGAGAAAATGTACCTCTTAAATTATATTTCATAATACATTTGGCAAATATATCTTTGGCTGTTCAAGCTGTGTTACTTTAATGTTTATGATTTCCTTTAAAACCGAACAATCAAGCTATTTAAAAATTCAAGAGATACTTGACTTAAAGGGCAACCTCTTGAAATAAATTATCCTTGCTCCTCTGTGCATTTTTTTTAATAGTTCTTGAACATGTGATTAGAAAGTAAACAACTTGGAATTAACCCCTTAAAATTAGAAGCCAGAATAATCATTCTAAAGTGTTTATGGAGAAGGAAACAACTATTACTTGAGATCTTTAGTTAATACAGATTGTGAAACCCAGTTTTTCTTATTTATGTTTTTTGCCAACCGTAAAAATCATACTCATCTTAGTCACCACTGCCTTTATAGTAAAGATCTGACATTAACACTTTGAAATATTTAAAAAAGTCTCACCAGTAAGATTAATAGTAAAAGAACTGCTGCAAATACAGCTTTATGTAGTAATAAAAGGGAAGGCAATTTTCTAAGTAGGAGTCCAACACTTGGCTGCCTATGGTGCCAGGCTGACAGAGCTCCATGCATCCCCTCCAGTCACTTGCTTAGGTGTTCTGTGCTTAGTTATTTTCTCAATTCCACCTCACACACTCTCAATGACTACTGTTGTACCTACAAAGGGGCACCACAGGTAGGACACAGCCTTGCTTGTGAACTAAGTTTAAAATTTAAGAAGCCCATAACCACCATCATCTCCCTTATCTCAATATCAGCTATAAACTTCATTTCTTCTGATACCTACTACCCTAAATATGGAAGATTATAATATATAACATGTTTTGTTTTCATGGCTGCATTCCCTTATTAAAGTCCTTGGGATATTTCCAAAGTGGGGGGAAAACCCCACCTGAGTTGGAAAAATCATAAGCAGAAAACAGAGGACATAATAAAATGATACATTAGTGAAAAAGCAAAGAGATTTTTCAGTTAGATTTAAGTGCAGCAATACTTAGCCTGTAGGATATTAGAAAATAAATCCAAATCTACCACTAACCAAATGCTTGACACTTTGTATAAGCAAGTGGTAACCTTTCCAAATCATTAGTTTCTCTAATATGTTAAATGAGAAAAAGAGCAACTAAAGTACATGCATTAAAATCTATATGGTGGCAACACACTAACAATGTTAGCCACTGCCATGGAAGAAAAAAAAACCCTTCTTGGAACAATTTGTGAAATTTATCTACACTCCAATCTTCAAACTTCCTCTGATAATATTGGGATATAGTAGAACATTTAACAAAATAAGAACACAATGAAGACCTAAGGCAGGGACACAAATTTATAGAACATGAGATTTACCTGGAAAGTAAATGGATTCCTGGATAGTAAATGGATACCTAGAAAGTAAATGGTTCCATTCACCCATGGATTCCTGGGTGACCCCCTAGAGATTCTGTGCCAGGTCTAGTGTGAGGCTTAGGAGACTGTAGTTTGTAACCAGGATTCCAAGCAATTCTGATACAGGTGGCTTGCATATGCCAAGATGAAAACCACTGACCTTACAGACAGGGCATACAAGGTAAGGCAGGAAGCAGCACATTGCATGAAGGTAACCATGTGCTGCATCCCTTTTCTACTTAACCTGTAATGGCTCCTTACACTTATCATTAGCTTGTAAAATTAGCTATTGGCCTTACAGAAAGAGATGAAAAATGACATCTGCTGCACTCCCCTAAAACAACTGGCAGAGGACGTGAGGGCACTTGTAAGAGGAGGATCTGGAAACTTGACAAGTCACCTTCCTGACCACAGGTATGGTCATTCCATGGCAGAAAGCAACAATGAATGTGTTAAAAAAAAAAAAATAAAAAGAAGAGGAAGGAAAATTGCCTTAGGAACACCTGCCACTGAGGAACATTACTATTAGGATCCCAAATACAGCAATTGTCTGCATTCTTATGGCACAGGTCCCCTTAAATTAAAAAGATTAATTACTCACATCTTGATCTGACAGTTTTTCCACTAACATTTCTTCTAGTTCCTCCTTAATCAGCCATCTGCTGCCAATCAGGTCTCTGTTAAAATATCACATATATTCTTTTTAATTAACCATGCAATTAGTTATATCACAAAAGATCCCACATATAGTAGGAATTCATGATTTGAAAACAAGTTTTTATATTACATAGCAGTAATTTCATCCAGGTAAGCTACTTTTAAAAAATATTATTCCATTTCCTCAATCTACTTTAGAAAAGACACCTACTCTAGCAAATGTTTTGTTTAGAGAGTTAAATATGCCACTATGGAACTCATTTGAAATTAAAAGCTGCCAGATTTCATAAAGATTAAAATTTTGTCTGTATTATTTATTTCAAAGGAGATGCTATAGACACAAAGTTAACCTGTCAGTGGACTAAGGTAATAAAAGGTAGGAGTGCATTTACAACTTAAACAAGGTGTACTCAAAGATGTATGTCTTTTGTGTAAGAGAAAATATGTGAATAAGTAGGCCGAAATTTTTAACACAGATTGCTGTGGTTGGTGGATCTGCTTTATCTCTGTTTGCTAAATAGAAGCAGAAACTATGAAATACAAAACAAAACAAAACAAAAACAATTAAAACATGCAAATGCTAAATAAACATGCAGCTATATACATGAAAATTCTGAGGACATCATCCCATCCCAAATATAGTAATTAAATATCATGTAATAATATATCAATCTGGGATAAGTGACATAAAAAAGACCTCAATTTTTGCTTCTTCCCAAACAAAAATCATCTACTATTTTGAATACTAACTTTAATGATTAATGCTAAAATACTAAACAAATTTTAGGCTTTAAGTATGCCTAAAAAATATCAATACATAGCATGTTTTTAGTTCAAATTTTACATATATTTTAATGCAAGAAAAGAACTTACCTGGTTTCAGTTTTTTCTGGAAGTAGATCTTTGGCTTGCAACTGATTTTGATGTTTTTCTAGTTTGAGTAACTTTTCATATATGTCCTACAGCAAATAAAATATACAGTACATGCTAAAATAAGAGAGATGGAACATTATAAGTCATGATCTAATTTATAGTTTTCCCCTGTGAGTTCTCCTTATTTCTAAGGGGGCCTCCTCAGAGAATCCAGCTGCAGAGTAAATAAAGCTGAAAATGTTTTTAATAACACTATTTCTCACTCAAACTAAAAGATGGTAGAGTAATTTCAATGAGAAGTTTATATCATACATCACTGCACACTTAACTTTAACTGATTTTAAAATAACTCTACAACTCCACTTCAGTGAGGCTGGTTAAAAAACAACAACAACCCCCCCCCCCTATATTTTTCTTAGAGTTTCAAAAAGACAAAAAAATTTTCCTTAAGAAAAATCAGAATTTATATGGCAATATGAAGTTTAAACTTAGAGAATTACCCAGTAAAATTTACGGTATTTATAGCTGAACTAATCTAATACTTAAGTCCTCACCATGTATGTAGTTTGTGTCTTAAAGAGTTTTCTATTATATTTATTTTTCAGTATTTGATTTCTTTCTGTTAATTTACTTTATAACAAAGTCTGTGAATATGTGTCACTTGTTAAATTGCAATGAATGTAGGAAAAAGTTCGCCAGTTTGTTAGGACTTATAAAAAGCAATAATCTAGCAATAGGGTTATCAATAAAATAAAATTTCCAGGCAATGATTTTACAAGCAGAATAATGCAATGGTTTTCCCCAATATTTTTCATTAAGCAGACAATTTTTTGAGGACTAACACCCAATATGTTTGTATTTATTCATTTATAACTTATATATAACCTACTGCACTAATACCTAATGAAGAGATAGCCACTTTAAAAGGATGAGCTAGAGATGACATAAATTACCCCTTTTTCTGGTAATCATGATAGCTTCCAATATCATTAACTAATGTCAGAAGAAACACCTTGTTACTGATAGAGATGTCAATCCACATTTCAAATAGCCTTAATAATTTCAAGTTTGGGGGGGGCAATTTCTTGTGGGCTCTGATTAGACAGCCATATTACTTCATAATGTTGCTGATAAAGTTTGTTCTAAGAGGAGAAATGTCCCTTTGCAATTGTCACTGTATTTGCTAGTGCTTGCATTTTAGTACTATCTTCATTTTGCAACCTCTTTTCAGGAATCCATTTCTCTCATTGTGAAAAAGAATGCAAACAAACAAAAAAAAAGAGAGAGAGAGAAGAAAACAAAGAAAGAAAGAAAAGAGGATATATAAAGACAGTCTTTGGGTTTCTACAACATAAATATGGGTGAGAAAAGATGAGATGATACTGAATGGGTTGGACTTCTCAATGAATAAAGATGTATACCTGCTGATTTTCTTCAGGAAAAAAAAAAAAAAAAAAAGATGTAAAAGTTCATTCCTTCTGGCTGGAAAGACTCATAAGAGTGTTTTTTGTTTTATTTTGTTTTTCATTAAGGGTAATAGAATTGATAATTTAGAAGAGAAAAGAAAAAGCAGAGAGAAAAAGAAGAAAAGTAACACTTAGAAATTATAAAACTGGGGATGAGCTAGACTCTACCAGTAGCCATGAGTATCTCACACTGAAAGTGAATCTATCACTCTATCAGTAGTTCCACAGGTCCACTCCCAGACCAGCAGCACCCCAGCCTAGAATGGTTGGAAAAGCAAATTCTCAGGACTTGCTGACTAAGAACCTCTAGGGTGGCATCCAGGGGTCTGTTTTAACAATGCCTCTGAGTGATCCACATTGAAGCTTGAGAGCTATGGAGAATCTAGTTCAATGCAACAGCAAAGGGCCAAAGTTAATTTAATACTAGTATCCATATTAAGTGTAACTGTCCCTACAACTACATCCCAAGTATAAATCCATCACCTGTAGCAGCAGAGGAATCTATCTGACAATATAAAACAAAAACCCAACTGTCCACCCTAAAAAAAAGCAACAACTAACACGAACCATCCACATATAGAGTATATACCTGTTACTCAGCTTACAATGATATTTACAATTTGTCTCCCAAGAATTGGTAAGCCTCATTGATTGTGGTTTGGGTACTTTTAACTTATTTTTAAAGGCTAAAATACTGGGTTGTGATTCCAACTGGATAGTATATAGAAAATTTTCTATGCACCTCTGTTTCTATTAATAGAAAACAACTCTCAAATGCTCTGATGGAGTAAAATAAAGAACCCCCCTCCCCTCAATGAATCCTCCCCACTTGGATGAAGTGGATAAACATGGGCAAACAGCATGTCACCGTGCACCTAGCACAGCTTCAGCAGGCCAGAGGCAGCCACACTGCTGCTACCCCTGGTCGCTCTGGTCTGGGGAACTGCAGCAAGCTCTCAGCTGCCGGGGCCAGACTCCTTAAGGTACTGAGAGTGCAAAAGTCAGAGATGGTATATCTTTCAAATCTAGCTATAAATGTATGAACTTATGAGAATACCAACAACAGTAAAAAGATACCCTCTTCTGCTTATAAGGGCTTACTTAATTTTCTGGAATAACCAAAGCAACTATAATAATAACAATAATCGATCTGCCTGATATGTAAGTTTCAGGTAAAAGTTTAGGCTGCTAAATTAATCATCATTTTTCAATAACTTTTGAGAGCAATTTTTACTTTAAGTTCATATTTTGCTTCAAATATTCTTCCACTATGCCATTTCCCTCTAGTGTTATATTTAGATTCATATTTATACATGGTGCAAGTAAAAAAATCAGAAAAAATATGGAAAACAACCCATGAAAAGTATATATCGGATTTTAAACATGGTAAATTCTATTTATTTAGGGCAAATGCATACAACTTGATGATTGTAACCCATCAAATCGTTAAGCCCACTCCATACTTTTTTTTTAAATAAGAAAATATATGTAAAGTATGTACTTAGCACAGTTCATAACCTATAGTGATGGTCAAGAATGATAGCAGGGGTGAGGTGTGGCTTTCAAGAGTCAAACAATAGAAATAATTTTACTGGTGCACCAGTTCTATTTATTCTTCCTCTTTTGCATAATAAAACCACTCTTGAGATTCTACCTTGGTTAGAGACAACCGTTCTCTGGAAAGTACATTCTATATCTTCAACTCCCTGAAGAGATGTGTACTAATTTACATCAAAAAATTCTTGAGGGTATAAAATATGCCAGGAACTGTCAACATCACAGATTATCACTAGTAGCTTCTGGTTTATTGTTAAGTTTCCACTTAATTTTTAAGGGACACTAGAGAATTAGTATGACCCCATCTACACTAAGTTTATATACTGTATTTAATAGTGTAATTTTCAAATATGACAGGAATAACCCAGATGTGAAATGCTGAATCATTAATCACAGCTATGATTAATATTTCATAAAATCAAAGCAAGCCTATCCACCCCTCGTGTCATCAGATTTCCATAATGTATGAGTCAAATTTAGAAGGTGCCTAATTTGAAAATACCAGATGCTCAGGTTGCAGAAAAGAAATGCTTAAACTAAACCCTTCCAAGAGCATGAGCAGTATGATTTTTAGTATCCTTCTAAAATCTATTTTGTTTATATTAATCATGTGGAAATTTCAATTTTAGGAAAGGTAAACAAGTAACATTTAACATGGGGAAGTTGGTATAGACAAAGTCAACTGTATTTTGGTACACAAAATAAACAGTAACGAACTATTAATAATCTTAATAGTCCTTGTCATCTTAGATACTAGTTCAGTAATAGTAAAGTAATTGACTTCAAATTTGTTTTTGTTAAAGAAATCACAGAAAATCAATTTCCTTAAGAAAGAAGATTACTTAATAATCTTTTCAATTTTTTGGCCACTGGCATATACAAAATCAAATCAAAGAAGTACAAATATAATTCATTTAGTATTAACTAAGAGAGAGGTTTCTGTTACATATCTATATTTCCAAGTGATATTTATATAGTTCTATTGCAGACCCCTGCCATTAATTTGTGAACATGGCACGCTATATAGTTTATATATATACATCATGCAATGCTATTTAACATAAAAAGGAAATAGTTTCATAGACAGGTCATATGAAAAAGAACTCTGGGGAAGTCCATACTCAGGAGTGATGACCTGAAAGTATTTTGTAACATAGAAACCCTATATTCTTACTACTCAAATTAAAATCCCATCAATGATATTATGATAATAATTATACCATTACAAAAGAAGTAATCTGATTAAAATCAACATAGAGACAATAAGTTGAATCTATCTTTAAAAAATTAATTTTCCTAATTGGTATACTTAGAGCATAACAGATATACAATGGTAATTATTCATATGGGTAGAAAATGTACATTAAAGATACCTCTAAAACAGCAATTTCTACTGCTGAATTAATTACTAAATTAACTCCTGCCCAGAAAAGTCTTAAAATAGCATGCAGATATATTTCAGCACTAGTCTGTAGCTTTTTTAAAAATAAGTACTTTACACAGCTGTAGTTATTTAACAATACCTCACTGAGAGAAGGGTCACTATTTTAATTCCATTTTTAAAGATAAGAGCCCTATATCCAAGAGTCCCCCACAGGTCACAAAGGGGATCTAGAAGCACCTAAACTAAGTAAGAATTTTGTGATACTCAGTCCCCAGGGCTTTTGCTTATTGAGTCTGGAATCTTCACGTAATGAAGCAGCACTCTGGGTCTACTGTCCTCGTGCTATAAGAACTCAAGTTACTAAAGTCATTTAAAATGAGCTGGGGGTCTCTAAATAAGCCAGGAGCTTCTTTCACAAGTCAAATGAACCCTGTTTACGCATAAGTTATAAGGATTAGAATTACCTGGTTTTCTTCCACATTTTAAACTTTGTTTTCCATTTTTTTTGGTGTAAATTTGATCTGTGGCCATGTAGTTCCTTCAATTTAAAGAAATACTATGAAAATACTTCATTATTTACTGTAAAACTAGTCCTAAAATATAAATGAAGTTTCTATATGATGCTAACTTTCCAGTGCAGTTTTTAGAGCTACATACCTCCCTTATCTTAAAGATTGGGGTAAATGGAGCTTTTGTAAAATTTCGATAAATGCTTAAGGTATTGGGGCAGATACCAGTCCTAAAACTAGGAAGACTATATTAACCTTTATTGAAAAAAATTGTTTAAGATGAGTAATGCCTACAATGATAATTACAGAGTGTTTTCAATATTCTGTACTGTAGCTTTCCCAAGACCTGGTTTCATGGGACATTAAAAGGTGTTCTGGATAGAAAGGTTCTGGGTTTACTCCATTTGAGCAGAAGCAGGTTAAAGCAGTATATTTATTTACGGACTTCACAAAGTTTTGATTCTGCTACGTTTCATTGCATTGCATTAATACAGAATATGCAACATTCCCAAACTAAGGTCACTTTAAAGCCCTTTTCTTTTTTTTCTTATTTTTCTTATTTATTTATTTTTTTTAAAGCCCCTTTCTTGAAAAATATTTCATAACCTGTGTTCTGCAGAAAGCACTTTGGGAAAAGCTGCCTTACAGACATGACTTGGCTTGATGAATCATGTTTTACAAAAGGGTAAGTATTTTACAAAAGGTAAGTATTTGACTTCGGAGTCAAATAATCGCCTCCCATATTGAGTTTTAAATGATTTTCAAAAAACTTACTTTTAGTGAGTGAATTTTACTTTTTTCAGAAACATGTAATGGTATAAACAGTAAACTTGAATTTACATGTTTCTTAAAATTAAAAAACCTATACAAACTGAACTGTGACAACCAAGATTACAAATGTCTTGCTGTCGAATGCAGCCCACTGTTCCCTTTTGCCACCAACTTGGTGGTCCTGGACAGGCTCAGGCTGCTGCAGGCAAGGGGTAGCCCTGGCAGGGTTACTGCCATGGACCCAAAGGGCAGCCCACCCGCCGGCCTAGTCCCTACTGCACTTCCTTTAACTGCGCACATGGGGTCTTCTCCCAAGTCTAGACCTAGGCTAGTCACACTGTAGTCACTCTGCTGTACAGCATTTCCTTTTTGTAAAGATATCTATATCCTCTTTAACAGTCTTCCCTTTCCTTTACATGTTTGCTCTGTTGTTTCGGGAAACTTCTTTTATTCTTTCTCTCTTTCTTCTTTCTGCTCCAGAAACCTAAACGAAGTCCTAAATCATGTCTGAAAAGCATACAAGTTCCACTGGCTAAATGTATTAAGGAAATGGGAAGCCACACGCTCTGGGCAGAGTCAGCCAGCTGAGCCAGCGCCATCAAGCAGGGAATCCTTTTTACGTACTCAATGACGCTCTGCACAAACTCATGAAGTCTCTTATGTCTTTTTACTTAAACTAGTTTTTATTATTTAAGACATTATTTGTTATTACCGTTTTATACTTTTTCATTATATATGTACATCTTCTTAGTGATGCTATAAAATAAATGAGTTTTTATGGACTTTTCCAGAAAGCTGAAGACAGGTGGAGCATTATAATCCATAGGAAAATGGGAATCCCAACTGACCTACAAATGAACCTTTGGAGTGTGCTGCATTTATGAAGAGTGAGAATCCCAGAGATCAGCAGGGATCCCTTTGCTTTATACTTTCCTATAATGCTTCTGAATAGGGACAATAAATTGCATCTTTCAGCTCATTAGTCTTTTTCCTCAAAATCCTCCTCACTTTTCCACAAAAACTGAGAGGGACTAAACATAGGTCAATTGGAAACGGTAGTCATTAAACATTATAAACTGACCCTAACTGTAGGCTGCATCAGGATTGTATCCCATTAGTTGCTATGAAGTAATACAGAAGCTTAATATGCAAACAGACACCAAATACTAAAAAGAAGATTTGGCATCATCACAGAAGATAGGAAAGGTTAATCGACATCAGAAGGGTCTCCTCACACAACTGCACACAGGCTCTAGATCTGTTTTCTTGTCAAAAAGCTTGGCCAATGGTGGCTGGGCCTCACTCAATTACAATTGGTCAACGATGTGGGAAAAACAGTTTGGCTTAGTGTCAGTTACCCTGTCATATGGGGAAAATAATTATATCAACAAAAATAAATAGTAGCAACAAGGTTTCATTTCCAAGTCTTTAAAGCCTGCCAGTCTTCGGGGGTTACTTCCCACACCGCAGTGGGGGACAGGAGCGAGATCGCCAAGGAGAGAAGGGGACAGCTATCCCCCCTCCACCACCACCAAGAGAAGACAGAACAAAGGAGAGAGCAAACATACTATAGCCTCCAAGTTTCACAGCTGGGCTTTATAGGTAATGCCCAACAACTACAAAAGCACTACTATAAGTTGAACAGTGACAATCTAGTCACTATTTCAAAGTAACAGGATCTTGGGCAGATGCTGGATGATGGTGATTTGTGTCATCTAGAAAATGAGACTGGTGTGACTACAGCTGTAATTGACAACATTTGCCATACATGATGCTGAAATACATACATGAGGCATATATTTAGGAATTACTGAGTTGAACTGAGACACAAAGCCCAAAGAACCCTTTAATATGTAACAAAATCTATATTACTCAAAAAGAATGTTTATTAATCAGATACAATTTGACATTTTAGCCATAGAGTATGATAAAATTTTACCCACTGAGAAACTGATCAGTTTCTTGAGCAATACCTTTTAAAACATACAAACTAAAAAATAAAGTTAGGCCTCTTATACAATGTATAATTTCTTCATTATGATGGAATGCAACAAAATATCTTGCCCTTGGGTTGCTCAGTTTCAGCCAAAACAAATGCAAATGGCTTGTCAGATGACAGCTGTTTGATAAGGCTCTTCTACAAGACCTGCATGCTTTACTTTTTTCCGTGAAACTTGGGATGAAAGGCAGAAGGCAGGAAGAGAATTAATGTAGCATACAGTCTAAAGGCAATGCTACAACCGTGATTAAGTAGAAAAGTTAAAAGGCACAGATTTTCCACAGCTTCGCTGCGTGCAACCCATCCGTGTAACAAGTTGACAGGCCTAGCGCATCAGCTCCATCATCCCCTCCGACAGCTAAAACGCAGCATTGCATCCCTTTTCAGAGAAAATTTGCGTCTGCACCATGAAGCGTTGTACATTATTTCTTAGCACTGCAGGGGGCTCAAGTCCATATGGAACCTTCACAAATATTACCACAGATCAAACCAGCAGCGTCTGGAGGCAGATTTGACATACCTATTTAAATGAACAGCAGGGGTCCTCGGGCAGCCTCAGGCTGTGCGGGAGAGAACCTCTGCGGCAGCCTGAGCCTCAGCTCCATTACTCAGCAAAGACACACTCTACATTTATCATTCATTTCATTTCTGCCAGGGCAAGAAGCTCATTTGCCCAAGGTCAACAAAAAGCGAAAAGAAGGTTTTCTTTTTTTTCCTCAAGAAATAAATGTACCTGACAAGTGGGGATTTTGTCCTTTGGGTTTGTGGAACACAAATAAACACCAGACAATTCTAAAAAACAGAGTAAATGTGTGCACTGGTTTAAACCTTTGGATGGGAGATGCCCCATAAATATTTCTGAAACTTATTAAAAAAATATAATGAATAAAATAGAACTTGACATCACGTTCTAAAAATAAAAAAGATACTGGTATACAGCCTTTTTTAAAAATAGTAATTCTGAGGACCACTCCCAAATGTGCACACTATCAAACACTGATAGCTCTGAAAACAAAACTGTTCATAATACACTCAAATGTGGTTTGAAGTCAAAGTGCAACAATCATTTCTTAGGCTGTTTTTGGGCCCAAATTCTAGAACCATACACTGCATTAACTTGTGAAAACAAAAATTGTATATAAATATCAAAAGCACAGTAGAGAGAACTATTTCACTCTCTCAAGGTAAATGCCTCCACAGCCCCTGACAGCATCATGCACTTGGCCTCGTTCCCTACCTTGGAAGCAGTTACAGTTACATGCACTATTGCTGAATTGACCATTTATCTCCTAACACAATTTTAATTTGTAAGTAAAAGCATTTTAAGGACAGACAATCTTGATATAAATTTCATAAAGTTTACCTTTAGGAAAAGTGAATTAATAAAATATAAAGCCTTTCAACAACATACTATCTTACCCCTAGAAGTCTCATTTTTGAGCATTATAAAATACAAGGTAAATTCTGAAACTGAGAAAAGTCTCCAGTATAATTAGTTTCGTAGCTTACAGTTCATATTATTTATCATAAATGTAATATACTTACATGCATTAATGAATAATATGATTGTTTGCCAGTATAGAAGAGATAATGAAATGGACGGCCATCTTCTCCCCACTGGATTGCTAATAAAAAGCCAGATGAAAACAAATAAAAATACATACAGAGACAGACCAAATAGTTGTATTTAAGTTCAGTTATGAGACATACTTATAATTCTGATTAACTTTTAAAATTACAAAAAAATTATTAATATTTAGGATTTAATATTTAGTTTAGCATATTCAACACACAAATACTTAAGATATTTAATATTTCATACCCATTAAAACAATGTTTATATTTAATAAAATATTCCTAAATATTGTACCACATGAGCATTTTTAAATTTATTTCAAGGAAAAACTCATAAAATCATCAAAATTATCTCGTTAGAACAAAAAAAACTAGGTTTAGCTATAAACAATGTCCTCCTATATTCTTAAAAAGGGAAACTGACAGAGTCAATAATGCAGTACTTTCAGAGAATTCAAAACAGGCAAACGTAACAAAGGAAAGCACTAAAGAACATATTTTTCTATGCCACATGATTTGTTTCAACCCTATAGTCATCTACCTTTGAGAGTTTAAAACATCACAAGGTGTTCTGTGTAATTCCTTTTGAAACACAGATGGTCATTCACATCTAACAACCACCAAATAAACTGAGAAATGGAATCACTCTAGTAAATAAGCCAAATGCTAACTCCACATCCTTTGCCCATACTATTTCTATTGTTTCTCTATTAACTACTTGTAGGAACTCTTGTACATTAAAGATTATTACACTCTTTGGTCCATTCCACAAGTTGTAACTATTGTCTCCCAGCCTGCCACTTGCCTTGCATTTTTGTTTATGACATCTTTCATAATCAAGAAGTTTACAATACGTATATAGTCTAATCTGTCACTTTTCCTCTACAGCATGTTTCTCAACTATCTTTTCATTATTGATCCTGCTGAGAAAGCCTTTTTTAGGCCTTTTTTTTTCTCTAATTGCCCCTTTCCCCATGAAATTTTAATACCACAAATATATTAATGCAACATATCTGCTGGTGTATATCGTGGACCTCTGAAGGGCCACAGACCACGGTAACAACTAGGTTTCCTCACTCCCTATGAACCAACCTTCACCCCCACTGAGAAACCATGCTTTGAGCTCTCTATAACTATTTTCCTATATTTCCTTCTGGAATTGTTATAAGTTCATGTTTATGTATTTACTCTATCTGGAATTTATGTTTGGGAGGCAGAAATCCCAGTATTATTTTGTTCAGCAAAGACTCTTTATCCTTCTACAGTTTTTTTTTTTTTTTTTTTTTTTTTGAGACAGAGTCTCACTTTGTTGCCCAGGCTAGAGTGAGTGCCGTGGCGTCAGCCTAGCTCACAGCAACCTCAAACTCCTGGGCTCGAGTGATCCTTCTGCCTCAGCCTCCCGAGTAGCTGGGACTACAGGCATGCGCCACCATGCCCGGCTAATTTTTTATATATATATATCAGTTGGCCAATTAATTTCTTTCTATTTATAGTAGAGACGGGGTCTCGCTCTTGCTCAGGCTGGTTTTGAACTCCTGACCTTGAGCAATCCGCCCGCCTCGGCCTCCCAAGAGCTAGGATTACAGGCGTGAGCCACAGCGCCCGGCCCCTTCTACAGTTTTTTGAATACAACACCCTTTTCTGCTGAAATACTACCTATGATGTTTGTGGGATATCTTTCTTTTCTAAGGATAATTAGCATTAGACAGGCCACTTTAGGTGAGTAAGTTTAAAAATGAAGACTAAAATTTCATAATAAGTGGTAAAAAAAAAAGTCTTGATTGGGTGGTTAGCTTGAAAGATAACAACAGATTTTTATTTACCAATGGCTTATGGATGATTTAAATACTTTTCCAACATTTTCATAGACTTCATGAAATCCTGCATATCTTCCAATATTTGTACCTTTACTATGCAACCGATTTTCATTGTGTTGTTAAAGTGGTCAAAAAGTAATAAAAAAGACAAACATTATTTGCAGTGAAGACTCTGTTAAGCTCAGAGAGATGTTTGAGTTGGATCTCATATCCTGGAACTGATTTCATTATGTACTGATTTCATTATGTATGTACACACACACACACACACACACACAGGGTTTCACTGAATCTACAGTATCACAGATTTTAAGGTGCCCAATCATGTACTTTACATAACACAAAGAAATAAAAAAAAAAGCTGTCCAACTATGGCAAATATTATAGTTTACAATAATTGTAGTGTGCCCTGCTGTCAAAGATGTTAAAATTTGAAAAAGCACGTCCTAGAATTCACAAAATATGGCACAAACATATGCTGGCGCTGAATATACCACTCTGTCCAATGGCCTGTCTACTCTGTGCTGCTACCGCCATTTTAACCAGCTGAGCTTTTTGCTGCAGTGGTATGATCACAGCTCACTGCAGCCTTGAACTCCTGGGCTCAAGAGATACTCCTGCCTCAGTCTCCTGAGTAGCTAGGACTACAGGTGTGTGCCACCATGCCTGGCTAGTTTTTTCATTTTTGTAGAGTCGGGGGTCTTCTCTGTTGCCCAGATTGGCCTTGAATTCCTGGCCACAAGCAGTCATCCTTAGGCCATGCCTGGCCTAAGCTGTTTTTTAAAATTAATCCGTAATTAATTTATTCTATATATCAGGTCTATGTCAGTTTCAAATATTCTAGTATCTTTTTGTCAAAAAGAAGTTTTTAGTTTCAAAATAGATAATTTATCATCTTAGTCCTTTATTGTGACATAAGGACATAATTTCAGTAATTTTAAAAAAATATTGAAAGTTGTATATTTATTCTTATATTAGCCACCTTCCCTACATTCTGTCCTAGAATTTTAATTTCTTAATTCCAAAAACACAATGATTTTTTTAAGTCTTGACTTAACTCTTGATACTATCTATTTTTCAACATTCTATAAAATGAAGACACAGGAGGTACACACAAGTATATATTTATGTACAATGACTGTATGTATATGTAGGTAAATATTTGTACAGTAGGGATTCAATGTTTGTAAAACAGTTCTTGTCTGCCAAAATACACAAAGGCAGGGAAAGACTGCAATGCACTGGTTACCAGTAAGACCACCAGGTCATTTCTATCATACTCCATTCCACACTGATTTCCTTGTGTGTGGATTTGGCCACCACAATGCCATCAATTGGCAGGGTGCTCATATGACCTCTGCATGAGCAGTGTCTCACCCTTTGTCTCTACTGTGGCATGATTTTATAAAAGGGTATCACTAAAAAAAATTCAGAACAATTCAAATGTTTTGAATTCAGGTACCCAAATAACGATATTCTACTAAAGTTCTAATATTATAGTTTATGGTTTTCCATTTTCTAAGTGGAAAAATCAATTTTATTTTCTAAGTGGAAAGATTAAGATTATTATTCATAGTATCTATGAATACTATAGTATACTATGCATACTATAGCATACTTGATATACTATAGTATAATTGATTATATTTACAATCGATTATACTATAGTATAATAGTATACTATAGTATATAATATAAATATAGTATACTATGAATAATAATCGATTTTCCTAACTTCTTTGGGTTTTTTAAGCCATACTTTTTGCCTTTATTATCCATACTTTTTTTTTATTATGCTGGTTAAAACTTCCAAAATAACAATGCTGAATAACAGAAGGGAGTGTAGGTATACCTGTCTTATTCCTGAACTTAATGAAATCTAATGATACATTTTTTTAATTTGATGTCTCTGTTTCTCATGATAGTCTTTCTTTAAGAAAATTTCCTTTTATTTTTAGTTTAAATGCTTTTAACAACAAAAAAGGGAATGCTCAATTTTGTTAATTAACTTTTTCCTTGATTCAACACAGATAAGTACATTAATAAATTCCCTAATGTTAAACCATCCTTACATTCCTGGGGAGAAAAAAGGTCCTCTGGTACATTCTTTTAATACAATGCTTTGCTTGGTTTCCTAGCATTTTATTTAGTGAGAATAGATTATAGGTTTCTTTTTTTTAATGCAATTAGTGTCCAGATTTGTGTGAGCCTTCAAAGTGAATTTGGAAGCTCTTATTGTTTTTATCTGCTCTGCAACAGTTTGCAAAAGTTATCTGCTTCTTCAAGGTAGGCTAGAACTCACTGATGGAACCTCTGGGCCTGCGCCTCTTTCACTAGATATTTGATGACCTTTGATTTCCTCTCCAGCTTGTAGTTTAACCAGTGTTCTCCTGATTGAGACAATTATGGCAACTAATACTCTCAAACCATCTGTTTGAGAGTCAGTAGAGTCTGGTGGTCACATATACGTGCTCTAGAGTCACAACTGCATGGGCTTCCCTATATTCTGGCTCAGCTACTTCCTGGCTGTGTGTGTGTTCTTGGTAAGGCTAAACTGAGTATGCTTTAATTTCCACATCTGTAAAATGGGGAAAATGTCACGTAGTAAAACCATCATGAAGACTGTGAGTTAATACATGTGAAGCACTTAGAACTCTGTCTGGCCTACTCTAAGTTTCAATAAATGCCAGCTATCATTATTTGGGAGATTCTTTCAAATAATTAGAATAAAATTACCTACAACAATCTGACACTTTAAAATTATCCTCCGAATGTTATTATTTAAAATTCTTAATATTGTCCTACGTTTTCTTTTTCCTTTGAGCAGACTTGCCAGAAATTGACTGATTTTATTGTTTTTTTCAAAGAACTACTTGGTTTTATTTATCATGCCTCTACTTTTAAATTTCTTTAGTAGGTTCATCAATTTAGTTTTTCTTTTTCTGGCTTCCTAAACTGAATTCTTAGTTCATTTATTTTTAATCTTCTTTAATTATTAATAAATATATGTTTGTCCCTGCATAATACAATGTCCATATCCCATAGGTTTTGATAGGAACTGCTCTCATTGTCACACATTTCTAAATAGTCTGTAATTTCAATTCTGATTTCCTCTTTAACCCAACAGTGATGCAGTTCTATTGATTTTAAGTCAGAAAAATCTAATCGACATGATTTTTACTATTTGAAATTTGTTAGGTTTTCCCTATGACCTATTACAATATAATTATATTACTATTCCATAGGTTTCTGCATAGAAAATATATTCTTTGTATCTGTATCTGCAGCTATAAAATCATGCTGCATTATTCAAATTCTTTACAGCCATAGTTAACAGCTTTTGTTTTAAACATTTTAATGCTAAGGGTTTAGTGCAAAAGGGTTCATGGCCATCAAATCCAATTAATGGAAATTAGATTTTATCAATATAAATTAACATTCTTGTCTCACTGAATGAACCATTCCCTACCTTCCTTGAATTCCATTTTGTCTAATATCAGGTGCTACTCCTTTCTCCTATCATTAACCCAGTATATATCTTTGTTTTTCTGAATATTTTTATCACTTGCTTAAACAGCACAGAGAGGATTTTAATGTTAATTTAATCTAGAAGCTTTCATCTTTTAATAAGGGAAGTGGTAGTATATTACTACAAGTACTATTAATATAATCTATCCAAATCTAAAATTTGCTGATTTTTTTTTTTTTTTTTTGAGACATGGTCTCTGTTGCCTGGGCTAGAGTATACTGGTGTTATTGTAGTTTAGTACAACCTCAAACTTCTGGGCTCAACAATCTTCCTGCCTCAGCCTTCCAAATAGCTGGGGGACTACAGGCATTCACCACCATGCCCGGCTAAATTTTAAAAATTTTTTGTAGAGAAAAAATTGGTCTTGCTATTGCCCAGACTGGTCTTGAACTCTTGGGCTCAAGTGATCCTCCTGAGTTGCCCTTCCAAAGTGCTAAGAGTACAAACGTCAGCCACTGCGCCCAGCCTGATTTTTTTTTCACACAAAAAAAGTTTTGTCCTGGACTTTTAAAATTAACTGACAACCACTACCCATCCACACTGAGGCTTCTAATGTACAGTAAATATATTATTCAATTTTCTGGCAAACTTAAAGCGTTTTTGTGTTTTAAGATTTTTATACATTTAAAAGATAAAGGCCGGGCGTGGTGGCTCACGCCTGTAATCCTAGCACTTTGGGAGGCCGAGGCAGGCGGATTGCTCAAGGTCAGGAGTTCGAAACCAGCCTGAGCGAGACCCCGTCTCTACCAAAAATAGAAATAAATTAATTGACCAACTAAAAATATATATAGAAAAAATTAGCCGGGCATGGTGGCGCATGCTTGTAGTCCCAGCTACTCGGGAGGCTGAGGCAGTAGGATCGCTGAGCCCCAGAGATTGAGGTTGCTGTGAGCCAGGCTGATGCCACGGCACTCACTCTAGCCTGGGCAACAAAGTGAGACTCTGTCTCAAAAAAAGAAAAAGAAAAAAAAAAAAAAAGATAAAGAGAAAATCTTAAAAGAAACCAGAGAAACATGAGACTTGATTAGAATGATGGCCAACTGCTCATCAGAAACAATGCAAGATAAAACAATGGAATTATTAAAGTTCAGAAAGAACAAAAAAGAAAATCTAAAGTCAGTGAAAATACGCTTCCAAAATGAAGAGAAATTAAAATTTTCTACATAAAGAGTTGAATTAGTCACTAGTATATCTGCACCAAAGTCTTCCCTTTAAAAAGGCATATTAGAATGCAAATAATTAGTGTGACATTACTATAGGCATGAACTCTAACCTGATCTAATTTTAATGCCATTTATACCATTTAATAGTATAAAATAGTTTACAAACCCAACAATTCCTCATGAGTTACAAAATATTTTTCACCTACTTCACAGAAGGGTAACTACAGTATGTGAGCAATGCTGATATACTATAACCTAACACTTAAAGAAAAAACTGTTTTTTCATTCTTGAACAAACTTACCTCTTTGTTTTGGAAAAACCTGCTCAGGATGCTGTAAAATAAATTTAAAAATGCATTAGATAATTACCGTAACATATAAAACTAAGTGAAATTTTTAAAAATAGTAATTAAGATAACTACCTTCATTATGGGCCTGGCTCGTTTCTCAAACAAGCCACTCGGAAAAAGGTAAGCAATAGCTCTCTGAAAATACACACAAAGGTTAATTAACAACTGCTATAAAAAACAAGTTAAGGTCATAATTAATAGTTACTGAATGCTTACTATGTGCCAGACATTAGAGTTTCACATGCGTTATCTCATTTCATAATCTTTTAAATGGGATAATAAAATTATACCACACACACATATTCCCAAAAAGAAAAAAATTGTAACTATCAAACTGATTATTGACAATTTTCAAGTGTCAGCTTTAAAACATGTCACTCCTTGAATGTGATACCACAAATAGTCTCTCTCTTTTACTTTTAAAGGAAAACTAGAGGTGCTCCTGCACAACTTCTGTGGTAATGTGCTCAAGAGCATTCATTCCGACTTCTAATTGGTCGTGCAAATATCAAAGAGCAGGCTGAAAAGAGCAGCCTCTAAGTTTTGAAAAATCTGAAAAGACCAGGCTCTAAGTCTCACCCACTATGACACCCCTGACGTTTTTAGATGCTCTTTCAACTTGTCCCGGAGTTTTTAAACTATACTCTTTTAAAACAAGTTCTAAGTGTCTGTTTTTCAACAGGGATGCTTTCGGCATTTTGTGCGTGATGGCTCTGACATAGGCACCCTTCCTCCATACTGCAGGTCATTTAACATCCCTGGCTCTTTTCCAACCCAACCAGTAATAGCCCCAGTGCTTGTGACAAATATCACACCTAGGCCATTCCAAATGCCCCCACTTCCTAGGGAGCAGCACTGGCTCCCACTTGAAAATAACTGCTTAAGTCTTCATAGTGCCTTCTCCAACACCCCCCCTCACAATGAACGACAACAACAAAATGTGCACTTTCCTTCTCGTTTGTTTAACAGTGTCAGATGAAAAGGCTATGGCCTGGGATCTGGCAGTGCATTTAAACACAGTGCTGCTCTTTAGAGAGCATGTTCTTAGGATGGGCCTTCTCTGCCCACCCACACAGTAAATCTGATGGTTCAGATTCAACCCCTGAAAAGAGGAGCCTATAATTTTGGAGTATAAATTCAATTATACTAGGGAGCTTACTTGTGTCTATGGGTCAAGCTTTAGTCTTTCATTCAGCCTTTTCACGATAAAATTGACACTTAGATCAAACATCGGCATGTTCATTTAACAAATTTTTTTTTTTAAACCAGGCCTTCCCTACTTCCTTCATTGCAGGAGAAAAGGTACACTTTTTAATAAGTGATACTGAGACAATTGATTGCCATTTGGAAAAAGATAAAACTGGATCCAAATCTCACACCATATAGCAGAATAAACTGCACACGAGTCAGAGAGCTAAATATACAAAATAAAGCCAAACAAGGACTATCATACAACATGGGTGAATTCCTTTATGACCAAGAGATGAGAAAGTATTTAAATATAACTCAAAATTCAGAAGCAATTAAAAAAAAGATCGATCAATTAAACTACATAAAAAAACAAAAAGAAAACTACAGCTCAAATGTACTCACAATAAAAGAAGTGCAATTTAAACTACTTGAGAACATTTCTTATCTAACAAGACTAGCAGAAGTTCAAAACTTTGACAGCACACTGTTGGTGAGGCTATAAAGAAACACTCTGCCACATTGCTGGTGGGAGTGCCAAATGCTACAACCTCTTTCAGTGGGAAGTTTGGCACTCCCTAACAGAACTACATATACATATCCCCTAGTGATCTGATGTCTATGAATTTACCCAGAAGATACACACCCACAAATGCAAACCAACATAAGCACAGGCTATTCATTGAATTATAAGCACAAAATATTAGCAACAACCAAATGCCCATACATAAGAGGTTGGCTGAATAAATGATGGCACATCACTGCAATCAAGTACTATATGTTAATAGCTGTAAAACAAAGAGACAAGCAAGATGCAAAAGAAATGAAGTTGGATGCTGCTATGGTGTAAGAAAGAAAATAGAGTGAGGGATACAGGGATGAGGGCAGACTCCTGTGGGTATACCTTTGTACACAGCTAAGCTTTGAAGTATGAAAACGTTTTATATGCTAAGGAATAAAATTTTCAAAAGAACTCTAAACATAAACAGAAACAAGTAAATCTAATTTCTAATGACAAAACGTAATTGCAAAGAAATCTTCAACTTTACTTGGTAGGCTTACAGTCAGTCATAATATTGATATTGTAATTCTGACACATTTTGTATATATTGCAGCATAATGCATGTAAGTAAATATATTAATTTTATGGGGACCAGAATTATATTGTAGAAGACAAGAGACAGAAATATAAAAGGGAAAATCCTATAATGTTAAATAATACATACTCATAATCTTTAAAAAAAAAAAAAACATCATTTCTTAGTTTCGTCCCCTGAAAGAGCATAGAAGCAAGGGAAACCCAGGAGCAATGGGTGGGTCAATTGGTTTCTAAAGACAATTTCCCAGTATAAAAAAACCAAGAACCTTGGAGAAATGGCTGATTCAGGCCTAAGGTAGAGAAAGTACAAAATGAGCCTGAGACACCTTCCTGTGCCAGAAAACCATGAAGTGCTCAAAAGAAGACAGAAGCCAACTTTAAGGGGCTCCTGCTGGCCAAATGTGGGACAATTTGAACACAAAAAGAACAATGACAATCTCTTATAACACACCCAATACATGGGTATATATATTTAAGTGTGCATGTGTGGGAGGCTTGTGTGTGCACACTCACATATACACACACACTCAAGGGGAGGGACAAGGAGAAAAAGAAAGCTGCTTTATAGAACAATATCAGCTATAAAAGTAGAAGGAATGACAAAAGTAGAAAATTATCATTTTATAACTTCCAAATTAATCATCAATTTCAGGCAAAGATCATCAACAGATGCTAAAGCCACTGGCTGAAAGATTACTGGGGAATAGAAAATTCACATGGACCCAAGATGTTACCTTATAGATTACTTACTAGTTATTAAGGGAAAAAACTACTTTTGTAATAAAGAGGTCTGTGGTCACCATCTAATCAAGGGATCAGTCATATCATCACCAACAGCAGGACAAACTGACTATGTGCCTCCTAGGCATGCAATGAGAAGTACAAAATGTCACTTAAGTAATATCTTTTGTATTTAATATAGTACATTCTACACCTGACCATGAGAAATCAGTCAGAAAGCCGGAATGTGGGATAACTGTACAAGACAAGTGATCTTGATGCTACAAAACAACTAGTCAGCTATAAAGATACTTATGGGAAAACTGAGGAAGTTTAAAAATAGATTACATAACATATGACATTACAGAATGATTAGAATTGTATCAGATGTGAAAATGAAATTATGGGAGATAACTGTATAAAGTATGTATGTATGTATTCAAGGGTTAAGTACATGCCGATATATTTAGGGGTTAAGTTTATGACAGCTGCAATTTTCAATGGATCAGTAAAAAAAGTATTTTATATATACAGAGACAAAGGAAATGTAGTAAAATGTTAAAAATTGGCAAATCTATGTGAAGAGTGTGTGATTATATTTACTGAATGTTCAAATTTTCTGGAAATTTGAAAAGTTTCAAAATAAAAAAGATAAGGAAAAAATGTTAAAATGTAAAACATTTTAAAAATAATAAATATGATCTTCCCAAACCTAGCCTGTCTCCACAAGGCCCCCACTATGGCCCATCTTGACCTCGGGCATCCTTCTCAGTCATGCAAGGCAGCCCAAGGCAGGCCAGACCTTAGCAACGGGGCTACTGAATCTAAGGCCTGGATTAGAACAGTAGAAGGCAAGGAAGACTCAGCACAACTCTTCAACTTTGGATAAACTCACCATGATCACAAGGGAGGCAATCCAAATGAATCTCAAATGAGTGTCCAGCAGTCATTGCATCATTTTTTTTTTCTTTTTTTTTTTTGAGAATCTCACTCTGTAGCCTGAGCGAGTGCTGTGGCATCAGCTCACTGCAACCTCAAACTCCTGGGCTCAAGTGATCCCCCTTCTTCAGCCTTCCAAGTAGCTGGGACTAGAAGCACACACCACCATCCCCGGTTAATTTTTTCTATTTTTTAATAGAGATGGGGTCTTGCTCTTGCTCAGGCTGGTCTTAAACTCCTGAGCTCAAGTTATCCTCCTGCCTTGGCCTCCCAGAGTTATAGGATTACAGGCATGAGCCACTGCACTGGACCCGGCATCATTTTCAAATACGAATATTACTGTTAACTTAGAAGACCACTAAATAGAATTCTAGAGGGAAATGAAAATTGAAGAATTCCACCCTACAGTTAGATTTCTCATGAAAAACAGGACTTAGAAAAGCCATAAGGAAGTTAATTGGTAGAACCTGAAAATAAACCATTGACTTCAAAGAATGACTAGGACTTACAATCTGCTTTTTAAAAAATGAAAATAAGTCAATAAAGGTTTTGCTGGGAGTCTACTGAAATTCACCCAAAAGTGTCAGGAAATGTGGCTTTGCCTTAAAAAAATCTCAGCTAAAAGTAAATTAACACACATTTATTAATTTATAATCCCTCACTATATTAGGTATTGCAGAATTAGGCATTATACCAAATATGGTAGAAAAGGTGCACAGAGCAAAAGACATCATGTTAGATAAAAGGCAATCTTGCAAATTCAGTAAAAACAAAAGACAGAAGAAAAAGGAACAAAAGAGGGAATAGTAAATAAAATAAACCAGTTGTTTCTAAACCAAATAACAAAACATATAAAACAAAAAAAGGACACAGTCCCAGCATGCTATCTGCCATCTGTTTAGTATGCATGGAACAGTACTAACATGACCTAACCTATTACTTCCATTTATCTCCTATGGGCATTTTACACAGATTTTTTACAAATTCTAAAGCAAACAAAGGACTACCTGGCTTTTCTGAAAAAATAATTTTGTTGCTTTCTGTATCTGCTTAACTCCCAGTTAACAAGCAGGTTGATGAATACCCTTTTGAGATAAATAGTGAATATTTATAAGAAAAAGGGAATTTTGAGTGTTAGTACTGAGTTGAACAGCCTATAGATATGTTTTGGGCAGAATATTACATGCTA